CGAATATATATATATAACTATTAACGGTAATTGAGACTAAAATAACTATACTATAGCTATAATAATCATGGTGGGGCCATAAGAGTTGTAGTTGGTTATAAGGGTCCTAATTTTTAACAATGAAGTTGTAGTAGAGCTACTAAAATTATGGTTGGAGACTAACAATTATAGTTGGCTAAATAAGTAATACTTGAATTATAGGAATTGAATATGGCGGCTACAATAAGAGTAATTGGCTAAAAAAAATATAATTGGTGGTTATAATGGTTGTATTTAACTATAGCATTACTTTGATCAAAATCTTAATTTGTAGTGATCGACAATGACTAGTGGTCGATGAAGAACTCTACTGCCCGAAGGTGATCTTCAGTGATCTACGATGAACTGGAGTCACGGTTATGCACTCACTATTATCTTCCACTTTCGAGTGAATAATGTTGATCTATTTATATTTTTTTAGGACATTTTAAAAAATTCGACCAATCTCCTAAAATACTCAATCAAACGGTCCACATTATGTCTTTTAATTCATATAATCTTTTCAACATTTAAATAGCTTAATAGCATCAAAGTCAAATGATTGTGACCTTGTTGAATTTCACTCATTGAAACATTCGATTTGACTATAAGCATGCTAAATCTTAAAATCATATGACCTTCTAATTAATGCATTAAAACTTTTTAATGTTAGATATTGGTTTAATTTGAACTCAAATTGGATCACTTTTATTGTTATTGAGTTTGTCCAATCTAGCACTTAATTTTTGACAATTTAACTATTAATTTTTGAATTTGAATTCATAATATTTCAAGATAATAATGTAACAATATTAGCAACAAATTGGCACGTGATAATAAAAATGTATTGAGTGCACATCACATATATATATATATATATATATAACAATGATTTTAGAGTTAATAAAATGATTTTATTTGCAAAAAACTTACGAGAAAACCGGAATTTTATAAAGAGTAAAATATATAACTAATTAATAAATATCTTTCTTGTATGATATATATATATATATATATATAAAGAAAATCACGTGTTATACATGTAAAAACATAGGAATTTGATGGCATGTATGTAAATGCCACTACAATTATACATCACTTTCCCTCTTTCATATCAGCTCAGTTATTAACATTAAAGATAAAAGGAAAAAAAAAAGAAAGAAATTTCAGACTATTAATGTAAATTTATAAGGAGGAAAATGTCAAAATGGTCCCAACTATTTGCAGGTTTTAGTTTTGAAGTCTATAATAAAAATATCTATTTAGTCCCCAGACTTTTTTAATGGGAATTTAAAAAATCTTTTTCAGGGACAACTTTAACCCATATTTAAAGAATTTGGATATTCATTTAACATTTGTATAGATTCTAAGCACTAAATTAGCACCGTGTAAATAGTTAGGAGACTATTTCGACACCTTACTCGATTTATAACTATATGAATGAAAACTTCAATTGAAAATGTGCGAAAGTGCAATTCCTTCCTTTGTATTGTAGTTAAGAAGCTAATTAAAACAGTGAAGGTCAAATTAAAAAAAAATTAATATGATAAATAGTCCAACGAATTGACTAAAAACAATTCCTAAAAACTAGACTAAATCAGTAAATGGTTTGATAGAAGAACTGTGAAATTCAAAGCCTGTTGGTGGTGTTCTTCAACTGGCTGCAATCTTTATTGACTAACGAAGCTAGTTTAATATTTGACAGCTTCTTTCTTTGAAAAGAAGCCACAAAAGAGAAGCCTCTTTTGACAGGAGGCTCTTGAAGATTCAGATTCTCTCTCTACCTCTCTCCTTTTTATTTACTCTCGCTCTCTCTCTCTCCCTCTATCTCTCTCTTTCTGTCTCTCTTCATGCAGTAACAGACTGAGAGCAAAGTTTGAAGAAGAAATGATGGAGAGAGAACTGAAATCACCTACTGCTTTGTTCAGAAAATGCTCCAACTTCAAACTTCTGAGTCAAGGTTTGGGAAGCAAATTCTATTCTTTCTCGGTCCTGAATGAAAAATTCATATTAGAAAGGAATAAAGAAGCTTAGAACTGAAGTAATTAATGGAATTTAGATGGGTATTGGAACCTTTCCGACAAAATTTATTATGAGAGGTCCAGCTCTGGACTGGCGATAGCATCCTTTGTAGAAAGCAAAGGAAAATTTCAGTAAGAAGTTTCAAGTAGCTAAAAAGAAAAAAAAAATGGAGCATTTACATACATACCACCCAATTGTTATGCATTTAAGTATCCAACATCTAAACTTTACCTTCTACATTTATAGCTCCTAAATCTTGCTTGGCACATCGATAAAGGCATAATTTTAACTCTTAAAATATGGAATACACATTTTTATGCATAATAGCTAAAGGTGACATGGAAGTAGAAATTGAACTTTAGTGTTAGATTGTAATAATGTAAACACATAAGAATTGAGTGCTGTGTACGTAAATCTTCAAAAAAAAAAAAAAAATCAGAGCAAAAATGATTCATATGTCATTAGCTGATCAAAGGAAATTCTCAACATATTGAAGTTTCTGAATTTACCAATATAAATATCAGGGAAATCAAGGCATAATTTTGAAACCACCTCAGCAATCTCAACCTGCATGACAAGAAGAAACAGGAGTAAGATGTGCTGCAACTTGAACATGAAGGAGAGAAAGAATAAGAGAATAAGTTTTTTTTTTTTTAATTTTGTTCTTGTTTGTTCTTTTTTTTTATGAGAATTGTCATATTCTATTTAGTTGATGTTGGTTTAAGATGTTAAAATTATTGTTAGAATAATACCAAAGCTTCTATAATATAGATAATTTCAAAGAATTTAACGGTAAGATTGTCATAATTCACCACTCAAATCTAGGGCAGCAATAGCCACCCCCAACCTCCACTGATAAATAAATAAATTAATTAAAAAAAAAACTCTCACTGATAATCACAAAAGCATCAATTTGAATAGCTGTAATTTTCAAGAATGTGCATTCAAGTTACTAGAAATAAATAGTAGATGCAATAGAAAATTGTCAAAATAATCCTCTGAATCTTTACAATGGACATTTTAATCCTAGAGCCTATAAAAAGTGTCAATTTAATCTCCATACTTTTTTAATATGGGTTGAATGTGGCGAGACTATTTCAGCTTTAATTTAAAGAATTTGTGGACTAATTTGTCACTTCTGTAGACTCCGGAATTAAAATGGCTCAATGTAGACAATCAGGTGGCTATTTTGACATGTTACTCCTAAATACAATCAAAGCTATCATGCTTCTTTGAACCAAAGAAAAAAGAAATGCTAAAAGTGGAAGCTGGCCTAGAAACTTTGTTAAAGATGAAGTTCAGAATTAATAACTTGAATAAAGTAATCATAATATGAGTGTACTTTAAAATTGATCTACACCAAAAGAGAGCGCAATAAATTCAAAAAGAGAAAATCCGAGTAATGAGACAAAGGAAATACATCAGAGAGCATGGTGCTGAGTTGCTTTGATATGAAGGGGCCCACTTGCACTAAAGGGCTGTTATGCAACTGTAGAAGACAATCCCACTGCTTCTCCAGTTCAGAAGTATTTGTTGCAGAAAGAAGAATCACGTTACAACATTTAATCTGCAATAGAATCAGAAATCATCATTTAAAAAAAAGCATAAAGTAAATGTCAATCAGCTGTAATGTAAAATGCAGTTCTTCTTTACAAAAACAAAAACGAACAAACTCCTTTTTTGCCAATGATATAAAGTAACTCCAATGATAAAAGATTTGAGTGCGATGAAAATGAAAATTTAGGTGTGAGAAATGTAAATGCATAAGAATTTTGGTGCTATTTATGTGAATGTCCCAAAATCAAAATACCAAACACAGGGCATACCAATGGCACTTCTAGCATCTCATGGTACAGCAATTCTGTGATACCTTCCGGCAATAACGCCATCTGAAAAATGAAACAGAAAAATATCCACAACATTAGCGTTTTATATATTAGGTGACGAGAAAAAAGTTAAGGCACAGAAAAATATTTATGTTTCTCAGATAAAGCTATAAATGCTTAAATCTTACTCCATCATGACTGGTTTTCTGATGAAATATCCTGCAGTGCAGGAAATAAACTTGAATAACAAAGAAAGATTTACATACATACCATTCAATACTTAGGTATTTACATATCCAGCAACAAAACTTCATTTTTTACATACATGCATATCGCTTACCTATGCATAAAAAGGAGTATTTCACCCTTTTGAAGTTAAAAAAGTGGTATTTTTATGTGATATGAAAGATTTCAGTGGTATAAATGTGAAGAGCAAAGTTTAGGTGTTAGAGATGTAATTAAATAAGAATTGAGTGGTATACATGTATAGATTCCCCGATAAAAAAATTAATAGCTGTCCTGAGAGAGAGCAATCTCTCCCTGAAAGCTTAATACATCACCGGTAAAAACTTTAAGAAATGAAAAATGATATGACATTATTATTCTAGTAACCTCAAAACAATTAATGATAACAATTTTTATCGTGAGTTCATTATTAATAAGAGTCATGTATTTTAGGGGAAAAAAAGAGCTATAAATTTTAGGTACACATCTACTAATAATAGATTCAACACTAAATGCATAGTGGCTCGAGTCTGTAAGTTGGATTTATTAACAAAGTTAAATAATTATTGCCATCGGTAGAAGTGAGGAGGGTAATTGATGCTTATAATATGTTAGTCAAATTTTAGTAATTGTAAGCCATGCCTTATGCATTCAATCATGCCTTCCATTATCAATTATCTTACACATTCATCGAAGTTTTAAATTCATATTGAAATACTATATAGAGAACATATAAATTTATCACGTAAATTGTTGCATAAATTCAAATCTCTAAAAGTATTTACGATGCCATAACTTTTTGGCAATATACGCAATCTTAGTTCATACTAAACATATGATGTTCATACAAATTTCATTATATTAATATAAATAACTTAATTATATTGTTACTACATGATACCAGAGTGAACAAAAACTGCAACGAAATGAATATATTATTGTTGAAATTCAAGTGTTGCAAACAAAGGCTCTTAAAATTAGGAACAACAATGACACAAGTGCAATGAATCCCTAGAGCAAAGTTCGGTGGTGATGGACTGGTGTCGAGGTTGTGGGAACGAAGGATTGTAGGTGGTAGGGAGGTTCAGCAAGACAACAAGCAGGGGAAGGTAGGCAAATGGCGGCAGCCAGTAGTTTGGTAGTGGGGTGGTGTGGCAGCAAGCTAAGCGGCTGTTGGAGGCTACGACCTCAAACAACAGGTGTTGGAGAGGTAAATACTAGTAGATTGCTAGGAGAGGTCGGATCCCCTCCTATTTGGGAGGTAACCCTATTTTCTAGCATCGGTCGACCATATTTCTCTCTTAACTGGACCAGTTTAGCCTCCAGAGGCAGCGTCCGGTTCAGCCAAGAAAGCCTTGTGTCAGTTTTACGAGGTTGGGTAAGCTTCGAGCACATTCATCAAAGCTTCAGTCTGTCTCTTGTCGGTTATGGAGCTGTTGTATCCTCCCGGGGCTGAGGGCTCTTCGAGTGCGACCCTAAAAGCATTGTCATCCAAAATACTTGAGGAGCCTTCCCCATTTGCGAGCAACGATCCAATATCAATCTCATCTTCTAGAAACTCATTGCTAAACTGAACTGAATTTGAGTGTCACATATATACTATTTAATCCTTCCAAAGTAACCCAAAGTTGGCTCAACATGATCTAAAGTGAGGGTAATATGAATCTCTTCGAATGATGATGACCATGGTGGTAAGCTATCGAACATCATTTCTTGAAACTCTGCTCTCTTCGGTTCTAGCAACATATCTTTTACGATCATATTAATGGAGAAATAGAAGGTTCTAGCAACATATGTTTTACGATCATACTAATGGAGAAGTAGAAGGTTCTGGCTGCCCTGTGCCTGAAATTCGCTCCATTGTCTCGCTATACTCTGTCATCACCAAAATAGATTTTCTCGACTTTTCTCTACTACCACGAGCCTCTATCACCTCGAACTCTGCAAAAGATAATAGGACAATGAACTTTCCATGTTTTGTTAATGAATAGGTGTTTATGTACTCATCATATTGAGTCATACGATCATACCTCTATGATCCCCCAACAAAGGGTGATAGACACCCATGGGCACCACATTGCATTAAACTAGATCTTGCAGTCAGATCATAAATGAAAACTCCACGAGAAAACTGTCAATGTTGATTCTGTTCTCCTTCACCCACATCAGGAAGTACGGCTGGGAATGTCTCTGCATCATGAGACTCAATTTGTCCACCAACAATGTTGACACCATATTCTTGTTGCTACGTCCGTCGATGATGATGTTGCATACCTTTCCCTTCACGATAGTGTAGAATATATTATTACAAAACTATTGTTGCTTCCTTGGAGCCTCAGTCTAAGGACTCGTCGAACCACAAACATCTTGCCCTCATCAGGTGGAAGTTAATGCTACTCACTCCTCTCTTCAGTTGCTTCCTCATTGATAATTTCCTCCAATGCACCCTACTAGGAAAATAACACAACTTGGCTTGTCGGGCAATAGGAGCCAATGAGCTCAAATCCATGGCATCTGAATTATTTTTTAGTTGGGACTGTAGTAAGCGTGCTACTCTTCTCAGGCTTCTTCTCATTCTTAGTGGTTCTATCCTTATCCTAACCAGTTTTTTCAACTCATTGAGATGAGCTCTCGTTGATGTCTCCAACTGGGGATGGTTGTCTCAATAGTGGCGATTTTATGCTCTATTTATGCTCTCTCCACCTTCAATGCTAAGATCTGGACATCTCCAAGTAACCAATAAAACTACAGTTGAACAATATTACTAGTAGATGACCTCAAACCTCCCAAATATTAGGCTATGGTATGGTCATCTAGCTCAACCAACTCACATTTTATTTGCAGCTGGTCAAACTATGTTGTGAACTCCTCCACTGATAGTTCTCTCTATTGTAGGTGGTGGAGCCTCATAAACATATCTTGATGGTAATGAAATAGTAAGTATTTTCTCTTCATATTCTCTCATCTTCTCCTATCTAGTAATTTTGTCACTTCTTTCTCTCTTTTTTTGCCTCTGTAAGTTTTCCAACAATAAGGAGGCACTTTTTTCAATTTGATAACCGCAAAATTCACTCTCATATCTTCTAGCACTTTGTTATACTCTAGGATTCTTTCAACCAACTGCAACCATTCGATAAAATTCTTTGGATCAATATCTCCATCGAACTCCATTAGATTCACTTTTATTCCAAAATCTCCATGTCCTCCATATGTTGCCTCCTCTGATAATGAATTTTGAAGCGTTGTAGGTCCTCTACATCAATGAAGTCCTCCCAATGAAAGGGATTCAAATGTTCATCCATTTTTCCTTTTTGACTCTCTATGTCACTGTTGAGGGTAATCTCTCCCTATGTCCCTCATCAATCTCTGCAAGCTTCTAATGAATTCAACTGATCTCTCCTTATAACTCTTCCCGGGTAAGTTCCCACAAGTTTCTCCTTGGTGACATGATTATGATTTAATTTTGTGGAGTAGATGTCATCACCCAACTTTATAAATTAAAGTTAACCAAGTCAGAAACAACGGTCGGCCTATATTAACATTTAAACAACTATCCATGAAATTATAGAATCTTTCAATTTATAAAAAATTCGCAAAAAAAATTCTACAATTTTATATAAGAAAATTTAAATCATCCAACAGTAACAAAAATAATCTACAAGTAAAATATCAATCCACACAAAATATGACTATCCCAAAAAAAATGCAAAAGAAACTACACGTGTATCATAAATTAGTACTTATCAGTAGCAATCCTCCTATAAACCAAGTCTCTCCTATCAATTATACTATACTTGATGCTAAAAGAATTACACTATACTTATAGAGTTAACTATAATAATAATATCCAATTAAATCTCGACATGGCATTGTATGAGGCTCTGCTGATAAGAAGAAATACAAATTCCTTCTGTATTTTTTGTTGGTTTCTTAGGACCATAATTGGTTATGATGCTACAAAGAAGATTCATCTTTGAAGATATTTTGATGGGGTTAGTAATCAAGTTTTTCTTATGATTTTACCTATGCATTGAGTTATAAGATTCAAAAAAAAAAGCATTAAATCAACTTCATTGGTTCTTTTGATGTGATTAGGGGAATGAGCAGAGTTCTATAATAATTGGCACTACCTCTGAGTGAGGCTAGTAGTAAATGGCATTACAACACCATATTCATTATGGCTCACATTATTCAATGTGAGACTATGGATTAAAACCATATTCATAATGGCTCGCATTATTCAATGTGAGACTATGGATTAAAAAAAATTGAGTTATGAAAAGGCACTGAAGAATATTTAGGATCATAAAATTCAAGAGCTTCATTGCAGATCTATTCATTTTGTCAAGGTACTTTGAAAGAACAAGTTAAAACAAAAAACAATATGAGACGCAAAAGAGAGGATCATGAAGTACCAAATTTATTCCAAAACTAACAAATGAAATTAAGGGCCTTTAAGGGGGATAAAATATTATACACCAAAATAGCCACAAGTTTCTTGACTCCACCTCCCCCAACTAAACTGACATTACAGGATATCGTCTCATTAGACTTCATTACACAAATCTTGAAGGACACCAAATTAGTTCACAAATTAAGAGAGAACGATAGGCTAACATTTACATAACAAACATCACCTCTCATTCCCAGTGTAGGCAAGCCATTACAAGTCCAATTTCTTCCTCCAATTATTCTCTTCCATCTGCAATCGAGAAACTACATCCCCACGTAATTCCACCGTTCTATAGCCCATAGAGCTTATCAACATCCGGAACTCACTAGTTGTTATTATTATCAAATTATCAAAGACCTACAAGTAAACTTGTTTTTATTTGATTCTGAGAGTTTTTGAAGTGATTTTACACTTCGTATTCGTTCTTCATAGATAGTCACTATTGAATAATTCAACTCTTTATAAAAACACATTTTGATTTAGTTAAATTCAAGGATAGATAATATAATAATACTCATAGTAATCAATTTAATTTCATAATATAAATAGTTGCCCAAGATCGAATAAAGTTTAATTATGTTTTTATATGGTGCAACTGCCTTGGTATACCATTGCACTTTGATACCTGCATATGCAAATATGATTTAGTGAGAATTCTTATTATGTAAGATTTTTGAATTTGTATTGAGCTAGTGCTACTTCATTAGATCTTAATTAAGTTTTGGCCTTCCATTTCTTACATGTTAAGGCAAGTAGTTTTTATTAGTTAGAAGATAAACATACTCTTTGTTCTTAAAGCCTTTATTTTTTATTCTTATAATAGATTATTTGAATTTGCAGTAAATAGTCGGTCATGCCTTATGAATTTGACCATGTTTTTCATGTTCAGCTTATCTTATAAATTCATATAATTTCTAATGTTCGGATTGAAATATATATGATAAACAGATAACTGTACCGTATTTATTGATACATAAATTCAACTCTATTCAATTTCTTCATATGATTATCTTAATTTATGAGAAATAATTCATGTTTAAGAAATTCATTATGATAATATGAAATACATTTGATCGTATTGCTATAGAAGATTTATTATAGCTTATGCTCAGCATATATGAAAATTGTGTATATTTGTGTAATGGATGTATATTTGTTTCTAGACTGACGAATCCATAGGTCATGATTAAGGAATGGTCGGAGGCTATTATACAAGCCACGGTCATCTCTCATGCGCCTAATAATTCGAGTACTATACCCTACACTCGGGAGTAATCGAACCGCAAACCATAGGGGACTTATAACTGACAAGCAGATGTCCGACCAACTGATTTGAGTACGCGACGCATATAAATATAAATATATATGCTATTTTTTTTCTTTATATATATATATATATATATATATATATATACACACACACACACACAACCATCAAGATGTCGTCGTCCCGCCGCTCTACTAGGCTTCCGCCCCATGGGGAACCCTAGCGTTTCGATTGTCGTTGCTGCCCCAATCTCCGCTCCCTCACGCGTCCGTGCGTCACCGATTGCGGCGGAGAAGACACGACTCTACTGCGTCGTCTGCGCAGCGTTGTCGGCAACTCCACTGACGCTCGCTCGCCTGCGCTCGTCTCCTCTGCGATCGTCGTTCCTTCATGCCCAGCAACGCAAGGCTTTTCCTTCTTCGCGCTGCTTCTCGCCCCGCGACGACACCGCGGCTTGGATCGACGTGCGCTGCTTTTGCGTCTACGTCTGTGCCGATCGACGTTTCTTGCTGTAGAAATGGCATCAGGGCGTTTCTACGTCGCCTCCCTCGCCAGTGTTAACCCTGTCTCCGCCCCTCTTTCGAATATGTTTCTGCAACAATACCACCATAATTTTGCTCTTGACACTGAAATCAGATTTCTCAAAAAAGCTTCCCGTAAAAACGACAAACCTACAATCTTTCTCACTGAGGCATAGATCTTCACCCTAGCTGCGCCCTGCTGACTGTTCTTAATTGGTAAGTTTCTTTATAGAAACCCTAAACTTGAGCTAATTCAAAAGAAATGTGAACAAATGAAGCTGAAAGGGGGTTGGAAGATCGGTAAATTGGATGGTTGTCACATTCTTATTCAATTATCAAATGATGAAGACTACACCCATTTGTTTGCGAGAAGACTTCTTCGAATAGAAAACCAGGTGATTAAGGTTTTAAAATGGACGGTGGATTTTGACCCTCGTACTGAACCTCCTACCATTCATGTTTGGCTGCGCTTTCCAGGTTTGAAGATCCACCTTTTTAATCAAGAGCTTCTCTTCGTTTTAGCGATGGTGTACGGTAAACCCCACAAAACTGACATGCCTACAGTGAATCAAACTCGGCCTTCAGAAGCCAAAATTTTGATAGAAAGGGATATTACTTTACCTTTTTCCGGAAGAAATATGAATTGACACACAACATCAAGGATTTCGGCAGCAATCAGAACTTGAACGAATACCACTTTATTGTACCAACTGCCGTATGTTTGGACATTCTTCTTCTCAATGTTATCAGTTGCATCCAAATTTAAAACCTTCAAGTAAAAACGCTTCTGGATCTGCCCCACCTCATACATGTCCCTCCTCCGCTCCTGAGTGCATTCCACAGACTATTGAAATACCGGTTGACACGATGCTACCTCCCCCTCCCACTACCGGAGACAATACTATCTATGTTCTTCCGACTGATATATTGGCAGATGATTTACTTGGGCCTGATAATCATGATAGTATTGAAGCTTCACATCCCCAGGATGCATCAGGTGTTGAAGAGACATGCTTACCATCTCTTCAGAATCAGAATGTTGTTACTGCTAGTCAGGAGCTGAGGGCTCATTCTCTCCTACATGCCCAACAATCTGTTGACCACACCGATCAGATGAACCAGTCCTCGGATGAGGAACGACAGGTTTACACATCTAGAAAGAAAAAGAAGAATGAAGGCACACTCCAGCTTGGGAACTTAATGGATGATACTTTAGTAACTTCGGGTAATGGAACGACACTTAGCAATTTGTTAGCTGTCTCTGCTCCTAGAACCAGAGGCAGAGACAAGACCAAGCTGGCTCGTGCCTAGCAGCTTATTTCATGCAAGTTTTGTTTTTTTTTTTGTGTTTTATCTATGTTTCATCCTTTTACGATGCTAGTGTCTGATCTATCATATGGGTAGGGCACATTTTTTGGGTCCTCTCATACAACCTCTATGTATCTTTTCAATTTCAATAAAATTAGCCCTTGAGTGTTTATAATATATATGTATATATATATATTTGAAATCCCAAAAAGGCTAATATATTAAATAGAAAGAAAGATACAGATACAATGTGTGGGAAGGCCCAAGCAAGACACCCTGCCCAAATAAAAATCACAAATGGTTCCAAAACTAGAAAAAAAATAAAAATACATCAGATACTAAATAAAAAACCTAATTTTGCCCAAATACATAGTATCAGGTGGCTAGAGAGTGACCCAATTTGGTCTTGCCTCTGCCTGTAGTTCTAGAGAAGGAGTAGGCTAATAAGCTGGTAAGATGATTGTCATTGTCAGTAGTAACCAATGTATCATCATATCTACAAATGATTGTCAATATGATGGTTCTTCTTCCTCCTGGAATAGACATGTCATTCCTCTTCTGAAGAATCAATCTGATGGGTGGTAGAGCTGAAGCAGAAGGAATACCAACCGTAGTACCCACAATAGGTTCTAGTATATGTGAAATATGAGTTGCCTCTACACTGGATACTTCCTGAAGAAGTTGAGCTACGAGGCTCTCCTGATTATCAGTATGAACACTATCATTTGTAGGTAATAGTCCATCAATATTGTTTTCTATGGGGTTTAAAGATGTCAGCATCACATCACTCGCAGTAATAGTAACAGCAGTGACATGGGGCGGTCCTCAGGGGCAACAAACACCTCCTGTCTGGTAGTATCCTCTCCAGGTGGAACTAAAATGTCCAGAATAGTGAGGTTAAACCCATCCTTATTCACTTGAACCTTAGATTTCAAATTTGGATAAAACTTTGGCATTTATCAAGGACATGACCAAACATCATACAGTGGGTACAATATAGGGATCTGTGCTCCATGACGATTTGTTGTCAATAACCATTATGGGTTGTGCTCGGCCAGACTTCAGTAACATCAGGTAAAGTAATATCCCTTTTCACAAGTATTTTGACCATCAAGGGTCTGGTTAGGTTGAAAGTAGACAGATCATGCTTCAAATATATTATACAAGGTTTTATGCTAAGCAATTGATGAATATTTTATCATGTAAATGCAATGATTATTATTCATTTATACGAATGACAAAAAAATAACACCCTATTATAAATCATCATAAAACATTTGACATTTTTAATCATTCATCGCACATGACAACTGCTTTAACCTAATGCTAGGATGACATTGGTTATATTAATATTACACTATAAATTATACCTTTTTTATTTTTTATATCACATGTCCCGTTATCTTCTTGTTTGTTGTTAAATGATTAGAAGTTTTCCATCAACTTTACATAACAAAGTTATTGCGGTTAACTTTTGCCTTAGCACATCCTACAAGGTTAACTGGTGGACTGTCGTTAAAAGGATAGATCTTTCAGTAATAATTATATTATGAATCTATTCTTTCTAGTTCTTTGTTAAACTGGTGTTGAGTTTTGGGTTATTACAGATGTAGTTGATTGATTTACATTTTATTAGTTGATGTTCTAGTTTTCTGTGATAAAAGACCGTTAAGGTACTATTAATACAATAAATTCATTTACCGCATTTATTGCTATACATTTTCTCTTAAATATGTTGATATTATAATATTTTTTTCTCTTTAATCCAAATCTGCATATTTTCTGATTTTTGAGACATTTTGGGGGTTGAAATTAAATCTAATTATATATCGTATTTACAGGCCCCATTATGAACCCTGGGTGTGACATTCTATCCTGTAGCCAAAGAATTCATTGATAATATTTATATGGTAAAAGGGTAATCTATAGAGCATGGAATCGTTTAAATGTTAGGTCAATGAAGGGATTGACTTAAAACAATTATGAAGTGAATATCCTAGACTATACTCGACATCATAAACTACTAACTACGAAACAAGTACAATTTTCAACTTTAAGAAACATGATATTATGTTGGCATACAAAAAGAAAATCTAGTCGAAAAGAAAAAAGTAATTTTCATAAAAAATATATATAAATTGATAAACATGCATTATGTTTAACCATTTCATTACCTCATTTCGGTTGCCTGTGCCATGACTTCCCATCATAGGTGTAAGATACTCTTCAAACTCTTCATCAGGGGCCTAAAGATGAGGCAGCTACAATGTAAGAGAATTCTGCAAATTTAATTACTTTGAATAACAATTGATTTTTAGAAATAATAAGCGGATAGCACTAACAGAGAACTTCAAGTAACGAACAGAATTAAAATGTCAACAAATTTTTTCCTAATTTGCCCGCCTAAAACTTAAAACTTTATGCACTTTCATGGAACTGCAAAAAAATTCTTAAATGGAAAAGAATAATAAAGCTGGCAAAAATATAGTTGTCTGGGACAATATCAACAGATTATAATAGTCACCAGAAATATTCAACTTTCTCGGTACCATAGTGAACATCCAAACTAATCATGAACTATTGCACAATGTTGAGGAAGGGAATTTCCAGAGGAACAGTGTATCATGCCAAATATTTGTCACTGTAGAACACCATGCAGAGCAAAAGCATCAAATGTGTAATATTTCAATTTTCCTATAAAGAACTTTCAAAGCTCTTAGACACCTGTCGGACATGGTGCACACACATGTTAGATATAAACTAGACTAAAGCCATCCCTATCTAACAAGGTTAGACATCGATTGAATCATATTTAATATAATCATTCTTCTCCCCATTACTGTTTTACTATCATTTATTTAATTATCTGTCGTTTTAAGCTTTGATAATATGACCATAAATTTAATTCATTTTGGCATGCACGCAGGCATGCACCAAACTCCCTAGTGTTCTGACCACATGTGAAGTGTTTACATTGGTAAACATTTAGTTAAATCTTTGCTTCACTCGCTAATGTCCTCAAAATTTTTCTCAGACCCTCCAATTTGGTTTTGGCTTCACAGAGAACATTTTTCACAAACCATGTTAAAAATTTTGCCAACATAACTCAAGCAAATTTTTTTTCCTTAAATTTGAATAATAATAACCTTTATGACCAAAATAACCATATTTATAGTTTTGAATTGCTCCATAAGATGAAATTCAAGTTTTTTATAAAATTCCACCCTCTCAGCCTATTGTAGCATTATATGCTTCGAGTTCATCAGCAAAACATCTAAACTTTGAAGATCAAACTTAAAATCTCACCTTTCTGAAGATTTATTGCAGTTCATTTTCAGAAAAATAAAATTTTCATCATAGCGATGACTTTATACTTCTTTAATATGTCAATCTACATTTTGGACTATGAACAATATGAGCCAGTTTGAAGGATTTTAATATAATCACTGTGGCTGCTCGCTAAATCTATGACTACCTTCCATTCCTTACATAAAGTTAGGAAAAGCAGTGGATCCACCAGAGAAATGATGCAGACCTTGAGATTGTCAACGATGGGTGGCTTTAGGGACTAGATGGAGAGGGCAATGCGATCATTAGCATCATTAAAGAAAGATAATGATGAAAAAAAAAAAGAGTTTCTTTTCATTTTATGTTTAATTTCACATTTTTTTTACAAAAAGACCTTTAAGGAAAAATCCTGAATTTGAAAGTGAAGACTTTTCAAGGATGTATATTAACACGAAGAATAGTGTTGACCTCATTTTTGGTGAGGTCTCTTACTCTTCTTAGAGCCTAGGATCTAGCCTTAGGGTTTCCTACCGACTCTCATAGAGGATTAGTCTGGGTCCCGCACCAATTAGAAATTTGAGTCACTTCTTGACTCATCGCAGTTTCGTATGGCCGGTTCTAAACCCTCAACGCTTAGTTGAGCCGATTAAAACCAGCGTAACGAAGCTCAAGTCGAGTACCCGTAGGATCTAAAACTATAGGAAAACTCGTTGTGACCTCCGCACGCTTTCACGATGCCGAATACCACAATTCACGTGTCGATGCACATAATGATCGAAATTCACATCATTTGCACCTGTAGAAGGCTTCACGATTGATCAAACTCGAATCAATTGCTGGACTGATCAATCACGAGCGATAATTTTAAAGAAATTTGAATTAACGTGTTTTCGACCCGAACGTCGACGAAGTCGTCCAGGCGACCTCAGATGACGAAACGGACCGCGTCGGCACGTCCGGGACGTCGAATTTAGCTAGAGGACACACCCATTTTGATATGGTCTCGTGCAAGAGCGGAAGTACGCGGATCGCGGGATTTAAATACTTTATATTATATTATTAATATCTATATTAATAAAAAAAAACATGGGATAGGTTGGCTGGGGGATTTCATTTTCCCTAAAATCCGTAGCTTGCGGCTACCCTTTGGTTCCGTCCCCAAATGGAGCCCTGGCCCCTCTCTTGGAGCTTATTGTCCCCTTCCCCGCGCTTAGACCCGAATCAAACCCTAGCTTGCGGCTGCCCTTGGTTCCTCCTTTTCGTGTGATGAGGAGTTGACTTTGTCTCTCTCAACATCCTCTGCCCGAGTTGCGGCTTCCCAAAACATCTCCTGGGATCTTTTGCTTCGTTTCGCTGAGCAGGAACCCATTCGCGGTAGGTTGACTCTGTGCGTTTGTTCCCTGGGTTTGTTCCCTGGGTCACGAATGTGGTAATTCTCCTCCTTCCCGATAGCTCCTCTCTCTGTGGTCTTCATTGCGGTATTGGTCTTCTTTCTGCTGGGGGTTGCTTCACCCAGGTAAATCCACAAGTTCCTCTTTCCTTCTCCTGCGCCTGTAAAAGTCGATGGGAGGGAGTTTTTGAGGGGGGACGAAAATTCAAAACTTGGTGGAGGCTCTACCAAAATTTCTTCTCGGATAAAAGCTTGTGGACTTGGTGTTTGAGAGTTCTTTGGCTTTCTTGGGGGGCTATGCGTTGTTTTGTAAGTTTCGAATACAAACATACAAGTTTGGCAGGGACTGTGCGTGATTCACGCATGCTGCAGTTTAATTGTTTGGCTGGTATATCACGTTAAGATTGCTCTCTAAGTGCTAAGGTCTTTTAAGGTTTCTGTTGACCCTAGTTGAAATACTGCATACTATTGTGCTTGTTTTAAATACTCTATGATGTTTAGCTATAAATGTAGGCTTATAAGAAAGACATGGTTCAATTCTTATGCATGTGCAAGCTTTCTCCTTGCGTTCTTATCACATCCATATCTGTATGTTGGAGTTTAAAGGCTATTTCGACCTTGTAAGGTTACGATTTTCCTCATTGTATTGATTTAAGGTTGAGGCTTTGAAAAACTTGTTTTGGGGACTTGATTTTGTTCCCTGCTGCTGCCTCCCTATTCGAAATATATGTTGAATGTAATATTTGGTTCTTTTTTTTTTGAAGGCCTTTGGAACTTATTTTGGGGGCTTGATTTTGTTCCCTGTTGTTGCCTCCCTATTCGAAATCTATGCAAGATGTAATGATTGGCTTTTAGAGGCTTTTAGAACTTATTTTGGGGGCTTGATTTCGTTCCCTGTTGTTGCCTCCTTGTTCGAAATCTATGCAGGATGTAATATTTGGCTTTTAAAGTTTTTTTTGAGTTTTATTTGGGGGCTTGATTTTGTTCCCTGTTGCTGCTCCCTCTGTTCGAAACACATGCAACTAAATTTTGATTTCTTGGAGGCTTTTGGAGTTTACTTTGTGGGCTCGGCTTTGCTCCCCTATTATTCGAAATATAAATGCATGGTTTCCCTTTTGTTTTGAGGCTTTTGGAGAGTTTGGTGTTGGTTTTGTGCCTTGTTGTTGTTCCTACCCGAGAGCACTTGTTGGTTTTCTCTTTGTGTTGGGGTTGGTGGCTTCCCCTTGCTGCTCCTTGCCGTAAGTCCCTGCATGTGAATTCTTTGTGTTGAGGGTCTTGTTTTGTGCCTGTTGCTGTCCCCTACCTCCTTGTGTTGGGGTTGTTGGTTTCCTCGCGAAATATATGATGAATGTATATTTGGTTCTTTTGTGTTGTGTTGGGTTCATACCTCATGACAACTTTTGGTTTGAGGTGGAATTGAATGCTTTAATCTTTGTGAATTGAAATATTTTAATCTTTATGTTTGGAAGAATTTGGGTGCCCCTTTTCGAGGAATGATCTATTAAATGTTCGGAGATAATTCAAGACCCAGTTCTTAGGGCTGAATTGATTTTAATAAAAGAAGAAGAATAAAAAAAGGAAAAGAAAAAAGAGAGGTGAGAATTTCTTTTGGTGTTTGAGGAAAGTTTAGTTGCGACTTGGAACCTTCTGAATTGTGCCTTCCGGGAATGTTTCTGGTTAGCATTGGTAAGTGTACCCCATCTCATTGCTCATTCGAGGAGTCCCATCAGGTGAATGTTTGAGGCTAACCCTAATACGGCTTTGGTTTTTCCTTTCTAAACTAGTTTTGGAGGTGGGTTAGTCTTCTTTTTTTATTTTTTATTCTTGTTTTTCGGTTCACTTTCCTTGCTTCTTGGTTTGGGTTTTAGCTTCTTGGTTTGGGTCTTGCTTCTTGGTTTGGGTTTTAGGTGCTTATATCTGAAACATAAGTGCGCATATATAGCCGCGACTATATATAAACCATCAAGCAATGTCTAAGTTGGACGGTCTTTTTGGGGTTTTAGCCTTCTTGATAAAGGCATTCGGTGGTAGAGCGAAATAATATTCTATCCTACGACAGCGGGACCCAACCCAGGGACCCGGTGAAATGTAGGATGACAATATTATTTACCGACACCAGACTAGCAGGACACTCTTGCCTTCTTAGGTCGTTGGTGGTCCTAGCACGAAGGTGCGATCGACTTGTGGACAATCATATTTTATAAAAATGATAAAAACAAATACATTATTTACAAAAGTATCTTGACTACAAAAATAAATATTCTTCTCATATATGCATGGAACTTATATTCATGCTGAAATATAAATTTTAAGTAATATAATTCGATTGTCCACTTGTCAATTGCCGGTACTGAGCTAAGGAGTACCAAGTTTGCATTACATGAAACATTTCTAGTTGAATGTCGGGCTCTATACATACGGGACCGATAGTTGCCTTCGGAGTCCTTCGAGAATACCTAAATCTGAGCCTAGCCATACCCGAATGCTTACGATTTTCTTTCTTCCCTCTGATTTTTCGTGTGTTACTGTGGGGCATTTGTCGCTTTTCTCGAGCTTTTCAGGTGATGTTCGCTCTTCATTCGTGTATATATAAATTCATGCTTACACATTTCTTAAATTCTTTTCATTATACTCGTTTACTTGTACCAGCGACACCAACCTCATTTACGGAAGCAGCTGACTCGTCAGGTGTACATGTTTGCTTTATATTTACAGCGTTTCACTTTCTTTATCGCGCACTTTACTGCATACATATATAATTCATGCTTGTGACGTTAATGTTTACTGTTTACCACGTTTCGTAGCATGTTTCCCTTTTATTAATCATGTTGCTTCCATGGACTTGCAGGGACCTTTTAGGATAGAGGACAGTAAGACGCCCGGTTTAGGAGGTATCCTAAAGCGAGCCAATGACCCAATAACTGCATATTTATACACTCCACAACCTCGAACCTATAATCGATATGTTAAGGAGCTTGGAGTAGTTTTTTCCAAAAAGCGGAGCGTGGAAGCAAGCGGACGGAGAACGGCGATCGAGACCACGACAACGAGGTGTAGGACGTCACTTCAGAGTTAAGGTTCAGTCGTAGGATAGTTGGGAAATCACCGGGGTTTCCTCGGATCTGTGACATCCCCTACATTTCACTCCATTGACTCTTGAAAATAACTACTCCTATTTTGAGTCATTCCCCTTTGATTTCATCACATTTAACGTTAGAAACTTAAAATTTGCAATCTTAAAGACAAAATCACTGATCTTAATCGAGAGTCTTCTTAAGTGATTTCGGTCACTTAAGATGTAATTAACTATAAGGGGTTTGCCTCTATAGGGAAATTAAGAGCTGAATTTAGTATAAACTCTATTTAATCTCCAGTATTAAATAGGGGAACTTGTCGGCTTATATAAGAAAATGTTTCGCAGACTCAACGGTTTCATAAATCTTTTAATTTAGGTGATTAAGCTTACCAACAAGTTGAATGCATATTCTTCGGGATAGTGTACTACTTGTGGTATCGCCTTCAACCATCTAAACTATCAAATGTTTGAGATTCATTCGGTCTCACTTTTCAAAAAAATTAAAATATTATTTTCTAAAATTATAATCATATACACATAAATTAAATTAAATTTAAACAAATGATTTTCAAAATAAACGACCAACAAACAGTCAAAATCTTATTTATTTATTTATCTATATATGTGTGTGTGCGCACACGCACGTGCTATGAACTATATTTTTGAAATTGTCCATGTCACATTGTCCGAGTAGTGTCAAGTCCATTTTGAAATCCCTTCCCAATAAGTCGCTTGAGATAAAAGGATTTGATTAATTTAAATCAACAAAAAATTACATACATACCAACCATCTCTATGCATGAAAATGTGTATTTCACCTTGCAAAAGTTAAAATGGCGGTATTTTTGATGTGATATGAAATGTAAAAAAGTAAATTTAAGATGTTAGTTATGTAAATACATAGGAATCTAGTATTATGTACATAAATGCCCATTAAATCTAACAGATCATGTAAACGGTACAGAATGAGCCTAAAATAAATTCTTCTGCATATCAAAGTATTCAAAGAACAAAAGAGTATAGCCAGGATTAATGTGCATTAAAGGAAAGCAACGCATAACCCACCAGACGAACTCTAAAAGCTTTTGCCACACCAGCTAATGAAACATCTGAATGTAAAGGCCCAAGCGCTCCAAAAAGAAATATCTGTAATCCATGTTTCCGACAAATGTCACAGTTCCTGACTATAGTTAAAATTTCCATGGACAAAATACAAAACAAACCAAGTCATCTGTGCACTTCCTGCGCTCCAATTCCTCGGCTATAAAATCAATCTGCACATGATATCAACAACCAATTTACTAGCGACTTAACTTGAAAGCATTAGCAGAAAATTTATTCAGATTAAAACATGGAACCTCACTCAACCATAAAAAAAAAAGAGGAGTAAGAAAGTCATATGATCTATTATTGTGATGTTAGTACTAAATTTGAAAACGATCTCTTCCAGTAAAGATTCAGAACGGCCTAACATAGAGCAACCAGGAAACATGTTCATCTTATTTGCTGCGAAATTTTCATTTCAAAGAAAAAAGATATGTGGTTTTATGATAAGAAAAACCTTTAAAGAAAGTAAACAATATGTACCAACATAAAGCAGAATTAATGATAAAAAAAGGAATAGTTGATCAGTGTTTATGACATTATCGTAATATTAACTTCTGCAATAGGAAATAAAAACAAAGAACACAACACAGAGACCCAAACTAGGGCTAGGGTGAAGGTGGAGCAGCTGAAATTCACGAAAGGGGTGGCTCTAAGTCCCGACAGGGAGAAACATGTTAGTGGAAGGGAGGGAATGGACATGAGTGGGGCAGCAAGGTGGGACAGAGTGCCTTAAGAAGGTTGCTGACAAGGAGAGTGCGACAAGGCAGAGGGAAGGGATTGTGGAGAGGACAAGAAGGTTAGAGCGGCTGCAAAGAGCAACAAACTGTTGTTGTATGGGCCTGCAGTGAGGAGGAGGTTTGCGGAGGATAAGGGAAGGTCGCGGAAGATAGGAAATCAAAGATAAATATCCTTGTAGGAGCCAGCTACAACTAGAACACCACTAGAACTCTTGGAGCAGATCACCACCTCGGATGAAGTACAGTATGAGGTACAGTCACTTTCTAGCCTTTGAATAAAGCCCTAGAATGTAGAAACCTAGATGCAGATGGTTGTCCTGACAGAAACATCAAGCAAAACAAACCTGAAACACCTACAAAAACAAATAAATTGACCTAAAATAACTAAGGGTGGGCCCCACTCCAATTGGGCGGCAAATCCAAGGAAAAAAAGTCTTCCAGCTCTCAAGAAATTGGAGTTGAATTGGCCTGAACCAGCTTTCTCAAGCTGCAAGGCTCGAAACCTAAGCCTGCGTCAATCTCCAAGGATTAAGGAAGCTTCGACGTCATTCATCGAAGCTTCTGTCTGCACAATGAAAGTAGCAACGTTGTTGTAACCTCCTTGGGTTGATGGATCTTCGACTGTAGTCTGAGAAACACCTGAATCCCAATGGAAACTGCATTGATCCTCAAAGCACTTGAGGAGTTTTCCCCTTCCAAGCAAACATTCATATCAATCCAACCATCTTGGGGTACACTGCTGAGCTAAACAGGGATTCTCTAAAACCAACCCAAGGTTAGCTCAACTTGATCTGAGGTGAGAACAACCTGAATCTCCCTGACGGATGGCGGCCAGGGCGGTAAGCTATTGACCAGAATGTCTTGCAACTCTCTCTGTACTTGTTGTCCTGTGTGTACCCCCTGCTCTTCTCTCTCGCGGCCCCCTATCATCACTAGAAATAATACTCACGACACTTATGTGCTGACAAGAGCATATGTGATCTCGAACTTCGTAAAAGATAAAAGGACGATGTGCTTGTCATCTTTGGTGAAGGAGTAGGTGTTCCCAAACTCGTCATGTTGAGTCTTGCGGTCAAGCTCCCACGGTCTCCCCAAAAAGAGGCAGACAACCATAGGCACCACGTCGCACCAAACCTAATTCTGCAGCTGGTCCCCAATTTAAAACTCCACAAGACGCCTCCCGTCAATCCTGATCATGATCTCCTTTAACCATGTCAAGAAAACGGATGGGATTGCCTCTGAGCTGTGATGCTAAGCTTGTCCACCATCAGTGTTGACGTCAAATTCTTGCTACTACCTCCATCAATGATAATATTACATACCTTGCACTTCACAATACACTGAGTGTGAAAAATGTTGTGGCAAAGCCACTACTACTCTCTCGTAGCCTCAGCCTACAGAGCCCATCAAACCACAAGCATATTTCTCTCATCTAGTTGAAGTCGGTACTCCTCACCTTTCTCGTCAGCTGCCTCTGCATCACTTTCTTCACGACACCATGCTTGGTGAAGGACACAAATCAGCTTGTAGGACAAATGAAAGCGGTGCAACCAAAACCATGACATTTGAAGCATGTCCTGACAGGGACTGTAGTGGGCATGATACTCTTCATAGGCGTCTTCTCACTCGGAGTGGCTCTATCTTGCTCATGACTGATCTATTCCACTCTTTGAGACGTGTTCCTTCTTAGGTCTCTAATTGTGGGTGTTTGTCTGATTGGTAGTAGTTCTTTACTCTGTTGTTGTCTCTCCACTTTTAGTTTTGAGATCTACACA